AGCTTATTTTAGCTTTCAGCATGAACTCTCAGTAATAAATGTGTACTTTTCTTAAATTGATTATTGCTTTGAAAATTACTTTCTTTAGCTATTAGTGTTTAAGCCAAATAATAAAACCTAAATAGAACATATGTTCTCTAGTACCTTAGTTTTGCTACCTTGTTTAAGGTATCTTTGAGAGCAAAGATGATAAATTTAAGAGTTAACTGGAGTGCTTTAATTTTGTATGTTATTTTCAGGGAACACTCAAAGGTTTTGACCAGACCATTAACTTGATTTTGGATGAAAGCCATGAACGAGTGTTCAGTTCTTCACAAGGAGTTGAGCAAGTTGTGCTGGGATTGTACATTGTAAGAGGTGATAATGTGTAAGTATAGCATGTCCTTGTTTAAATCTGTTCACGTGAACTTAGTGTGTATGTGTGCATGTTTTTGTGTGTATATTATAAATCTTGATAGCCCCAGACACCCTGCACCTTTGTATCTGTGCGTAGCACTGTACTGTCAGAGTATTGTCAAAGCTGAGCCAACCAAGGAAGTGTCTGAGTCACCGTCCCTGGATAGTGTTTAAAAGATGTGTAGAAGTGGCACTTAGTGTCAGGGTTTAGTGGTGGGCTTGGCATTGCTGGGCTCGATCTTGCAGGCCTTTTCAGACCTAGATGACTCTGTGTATTAAATAGCAAACATCTACACTTAGGTTACAGAAGTGATTGTATTGTAATGTTAAGATCGAAGATGGTCTGAGGGCTTGAGCACTTCTCCTGTGAAGACAGGCTGGGAGAGCTGGGCTTGTTCAGCCTGGAAAAGAAAAGGTTTCTCTTCTCAGTGAGGGGGACCTCATTGTGGCCTTCCATTACATGAAGGGGGCTTATACAATAGAGGGAGAGCGACTTTTTTTCAGTGGGCAGATAGTGGTAGAACAGGGGGGAATGGTTTTAAACTGAAAGAGGAGAGATTGAGATTAGATGTTAGGAAGAAATTCTTTACTCAGAAGGTGGTGAGACACAGGAACAGCTTACCCAGAGAAGTTGTGGATGCCCCATCTCTAGAAGTGCTCAGTGCCAGGTTGGATGAAACTCTGAGCAACCTGATCTGGTGGGTGGCAGGAGGTGGGGGTGCTGAAACTGTGTGATCTTTAAGGTCCCAGCCCAAGCCTTTCTATGATTCTTTGATCTCCTTAGTCTGTATTTACTGAGCTGTGAATTAACCAGCACGTTCTGATTAGCCATTTAGGAAGGGTCACTACAAAGCTCAGCATTCTCCTCTTTGGAGTGTAGGCATTGTGTAGATGTTCTTTATTCTAGTTCATGATGCTTGATGAAGGAAAAAATAGAATTATGACTAAAATATGAGATAAAATTCATGCAAAAAGTCAGCAATCTGGTATACAAAGTTGACTTTCAACAGCTTTTATGTAGAAGAGATGTTCACAGAGACCACTTTACGATCTGGACAATGCATGAAGGTTCTGGCTTGACAGTGTAACAGCTGTTGAAGCTGATGTAGTGACAGGTCAAAGTCGATACTTGATGTAAAATACACTTAAGAGAATGAGAGTAAAAGCTCATTGAAAGCAGAGAGAAGTAGCTGACGTGCCAAACACATGGGAGGGTTACAAGAGAAGTGGAATGAAGGCCTGGTAAGTGAGCCTGCTAGGAAGATTACTTTTGCAGCAGCATTCTGAAACTGATGGCAAAAACAATACTCTTCTTTTAATCACAACTAGAAAAAGAGTATGTTGCAGTGACCAACACATGAGCCTGGATAGGAGTTTTCATCTTCTATTTCTGATGGATATTTCTGTACAAAGAAATGTCAAGACTTAAATTTATGTCTAGGTGCATTTATCTAACATCATTAAGACATTTTGGGATGCTTTCATCACATTTGACTTAAGCTTTTAAGAAAAAGTAAATTGACACGTGCAAAGGTAGGACTAAACATGCTACTCCACCAGTAACTTTTCATTCACATAGTATAGAAGTGTATAAAAAGCCAAGTAATTGTTTACTGCTTCGCTCTTTTATCATACCAGATGGCCACATTACTCAAATATACTCAAAATATTCTTTTATAAAATTTATTCTAATTTTTTTTTTTGCAAACTTAACAAACTCGGAAATATGCTCATTACAAGGAATAATTCTGTGTTCTTGCAACTCTTAACATACTGAAATTTAATATTCTTATAGAAAAAAGTCATAAGAATCAACAGCAAAGTAACAGTAACTTCAAAATAGACAACTCTCATAAAATAGGGAAGGTATTGGAAAATAAATGGGAAGAAGCAATCATAATATAAAGTACTTCCAGACATTACAGTGTGCATCACTAGAACCTTGCAGGGAACATGCAGCATCAATCAGAAAGAGTCAGTATGGTTAACAGTAAATAAGGGTTGTTGAAAGGGAAAAGACAGCTTCTGTTTTAGAGGTGTGTGATTGATTTTATTTCAAGAAATAATAACCTGATTTATTTTTATTGTAGTGCCGTCATTGGTGAAATTGATGAAGAGACGGATTCAGCTCTTGACTTGGGGAATATTCGAGCAGAACCCCTAAACTCAGTTGTGCACTGAAAAGATGAAAATGCACAGGGACTTTGTAAATCTTTGGTTGTACAGACCTATTTAACAACGTGAACGATTTTTACAAATTGTGTTTAATTTGTTTAGACACCAGTTTTTTATTATGAATATGTTGTAGTTTTGCATGTAAATTAAAGTTTCTACATTTTACTAAAGACACTTTCATTGGATTTCCTTTGGGTTTTTATGGTGCATGAGTTCACTGGAAAATGCATGCTGGGAAAAGCAATCAGTATCAGTGATGATCACTGTGTAAATATACCTTGTTCTTAAAATAAGATCCTATTCCTGAAGTTAAACCAAGCTCTTTCATGTTAACCCAGGATTATGTGGAGGTAGATGTGTAATAGTCAGTTTAACCATCTCTAAGCATCGTTCTGGCTCTAAGTAGAAAACTGTTCCTTGTGATTGGGTTTTTTTTGTGTTTAATGTAGAAAGGAAGAATGTTGAAAGTTTTCATAGTCAAATTAATGGCTTATTCATATAATACATTTTTGGTTGTTTATCAGAGATTGTTCTCTAGTCCCTGAGACTGTACTGGAGGTGCAGGAGTTCTTAATGCCTTAATCCTTGCAGACAAATTGGAGAAGGAAAGACTTTTGACCAGGAGCACAAAACTTAAAACAAATACACACATTTATTTAAAGCCCATTAAGAGAATGAGACCAACTCATTCTCTGCCTTCACCTTTCAGCAGCTGTCACATTGCTCAAAATGTGGGTAAGATCTGCAAAAAGAGAATTGTGTGTTTGCTGATGTGCAACCATTGTCTTAGAGTGTAGTTTAGAAGACACCAGAGTACTTTTGGTAGGTGAGTTACTTATTTTAAACAAAACTTGCTGCAGTATTGAATATAAGGGTTGCATGTAATCTTGATCACATGTAGGCCTCTTATACACCAGCAACAGCCAAGTTAAGTGGGACAAGCTCTGTGCAGTGTAGTGTGTTACAGGCCACATCCTATTGACTACCCAGTAGAAATGCTGGTATGGTGGCAGCAAGAGGAAGTCAGTACTATTGAACAAAGCTGTTTTCTGTGTCCTTGAGTCTGCCAACAGGCCCAGTATTTTTTCCCTATATGTGAAAGTGCTGTCAAAAAAAAAAAAATTAAATGTGCAAATTTGGGCTTATACTGATTTTAATATTAAGTGGGATTCGGTACTTTTCATTGCAAGTTCACTGGAAACCAGATACATTGAACTGAAAATATTTGTTCTTCATAAAATCTGTCTCTCAATTCTTGTAACTTCCAGTTTGTTTCCTGAGGTTGGTTGTGATGGAGCATGTGAAGCGCTGCTAACCTTTTTTCACATTTATCCATCTTGTGACCTAGTAATATGTTGTAGTTTTCTGTCCACATCTCTGCAGGGAATCGCTGAGCAGACATCAAATCAGTCAAATCAGGGGGTTTTCTCTGATTACCAAAAAGTCAATAGAAATTGATTCAAAAGAACCAGTTTCATTAAACAGTCAAAAAAGCCCTTTTGCTACTGAAATGCTGATAGTGGCACAAGAGAAAAGAAAGGGAATAGCAATGATAAAGAACAAAGAAAGCAGATTATTAAATGAGCTACTTTAGAGCTCAGAAAAAAAATGCAGAGGCAAAGAGTGGAATCAGGATGAGCTGATTTTTAATGCATTACTCAGTCTTGGGTGTATTAGGAAGGTTATAGTTGAAAGAGAAGTTGAATACTTGTAGAAGCTCTGGAAAGACTACAGAAATCTGTTGTTTTATAGCTGAGGAATTACGTTTGAAGCTGTCATAGAATGTCAATGCATATGGAGACCATGTGCCTCAAGCACATCATTTGCAATGCAACTCCTTGGTCCTGTGTTAGAGGATTTAAAATATGAGCTGCTGATATGAGTTGAAACTATTTTCTCTATCCTTGAAGTGCTGATCTCACAGTAGTGAGGTTGATCAATAAAATCCAGGGACTGACCAGATGGAAAATCCAAATCGTTCAGAAATTGCTGAAGCATGATCTGGAATATAAATTTGACAGAGTTAGGTGTTTAAAATGCAGATTGCAAACCCTGTCTTCTTCCCTTCAAGTGAGTTATCTCAGCTATTGCGTGCGCTTTTTCTGGGCCTGTGATCCTCTGTGTGCCCAGAGTTGGGAGGAGCTACAGCTTGAGGAAGTTGTGTCTGCACTCACAGGCTAACACAAACTTTGGGGCATTCTCTATCTCTGTCTTGAGAAAAATAAATTTAAGCTCCCTTTTAGAAAAGGATCCTAACAAAACGTGGCTGCCAAAGGCCAAATGAGTTGATTATATGCAGTGCATTGTAAAACTGACTTCTGCAATGAGATAGGCAAAGGATGGGCCAGCTCACAGGACTGGTTGGGATTGTGGGCAGTAACTCAGCCCTGTTAAGATGGAGCCCTGCTAAGAAGTAAAGTGCTGTTTAAAACCTTAAAATCAAAACCTGTGGAGGTTGCTTGCCTTTATGCTTATCAGCAATGTAAAGTTTTTCAGAGTTGTGATTTTTGGCTTATGCTCACATTTTGTTTCAATTTCTGCTCCATCATATCCTTCAATTTGATGCCATTGGTTTTGGTCTGGATTTGACCAAAACCTCTTCTGAGTGTAATGTTGAAGGGATCAAAACCAGCAGACATAGTCAGAAGGGATTTATTGAAATCAAATCTAGAACTTCATATGCTTTTTAAAATTATAAAATGCAATTAAAGCCTTGTGAACTTACAGGGGCTTTAATCTGTAGTGGCTAACTGGGTCCTTGTAAGTATATGGTTCAGAGAAGCACTCAATAAAACAGTATTTCATGTAGGAAGTGGAATTATAACCAGAGTATTTTCATTATTTCAGTATTTCATTGAATCAAGCCTGTAGCACAGTCCAAGCTGGAAAACAGATCACCAATGAGAGTAACGTTTTTATGCCATTATTTTCATAAATGAATCAAAGTAGGAAAAATTAGTGGGATTGAAACCAGAAAGTGGACATATAGTGATGGCCTAGTATTAATGATTCTGAAGAAGAAAGCTAGAGAATGTTAGTCCCCAGCAAGGGAAGAGGAAGAATAGAGTGGAAGCCCAGCAGGTGTGAAGGCTGTGTATGCATCTTGACAGCAGGGGAGCTACGAATGTGAGTCATGCCAGTGAAACACAAGATGATTTATGCTTGCTAGTTATATTTGGTCTGTAATACATTTGGCACCTGTGTAAGCAACCTTACTAATTTTTAATAATTGGGTTCTTATTTCTGCTTTCCAGTTGGGTAAACTGCAGTTCATTCCTTAGAATAATGAAAATAAGTCTGTGGACTTTTTTTTCAAAGCGGAAAAGTTCTTCAGTTGCAGTAAAGATCCAGAAAAGCTGTGTCATATCAATTAGTTTTAGCTTCTCTGTTGCTCAAATAAGAAGGCATACTTCAAGTACCAGGTATTCACAGACAAATAACTATGAAACCCAGATGTGTCAGAAGGTCATAGGTCAAACCTTGAGATGAGAAAGGGGAAACTTTGTGCAAGACTTAATTAAAAACATATGACAGAAGATAGTAAAGAGCCAGGTGTTTGTCCTGGAAATCCTGTTTCTGATAGGTTCTTTCAGTGTGCTCTGTTTTGTCTTAGGGTCCCTTTTAGGGGCCTTTTTTTTTACAGTAATTTTTACAGTAATGGCAGAAATGCTGATATTTCTTACATCAGCAGCATTTTCCCTGAAGAAAATAAAAGCTCCACTGACGCAGGTGGAAATCAAAGGCGAAAACACAATAGAATTCAGACTTATGCCAAGAACTCCTTGCTAGCACTAAAAACAAGACCTTATCTACATGGTAATATCTTCCTTCCTGGAGCCTTGCAGCACGTTCCAGGAACTCAAATTTGCGTAGAACAACGTGCTGCTGCTTTTCAGTCTTACATCAGTAACCATCAGTGCCACTGAATGCCAAAAAATTTCACTCAGTGCTCAACTGCTTTCCTGTTACTTGCACTTTTAGATAAAAGGCGTTCATTACTTTAGGGAGTGCAAGAACATGTGCATTTACTGGTTTTGTCCACTGAAACATCTTTAATGGTTGTCCTGCAATCTTCTTGTTTTTTACTAGGATTTGTCTTCTTTTTAATTTAGTGTTGAAGGCAGCAGCGGTGACTACAGTGCTCTGCACAGAAACAGGAGTGAAAAGTGTTCAAGTGGATAAATTAAAGAAGCTGGACTTTAAGTAGCATAACCCATAAAAAATAGAAATATGCAGGATAGAAACCTGTTGAATGTGAACAAAGTTGGGCTTTACAGCAGTGGTCATTGTAGTAAAGTTCCCTTTAACACAGATACAGTTATTTTATCTGTGCACATCACTCATGAGAAATACTGAGAAAGTGTGAGAAAACATTCACTGAAATATTTTAAAGCATATGAAAGCTTCCTATCCTAAAATGCTACTTTTAAATTATGGTTCTTGCTTTGTATTTTTGTGCTTAAATCTCTGGGAATTCTTACTTGTGTAATTTCAGACTTCAAGTCTGCTTATGATGCAGATAGAAACCTGTATGCAGATGAATGCTGTGGTGTTTCTGCAAACTGGTCAGAGCTGCTGGTGGTGCATGGCTGGGATTTGCAGCATTTGCACTGACGAACATGTAGGTGATGTAGTGTCTTAGGATACAGGGGATAGATTGTCAAAATTGTATTCAAAGCAACATGCATGCGAAAGACCAGAAAAAGCATGTAGCGATAACCCCCCTAGCTATCTATAGCCATCTCAATCTCAGTTTATAGAATTTCCAATTAATCAAATAATTTCTTGCCAACTGCCACCTAAATACCACTGCATCTTATACCATTTCACATGCACAGACCGGATGCATGGGAGTTCTGTTTTGCAGCAAGTTACAGGACTGAACAGAAGCCAAGGCAGGAAGTGATTATGGCTAAGGAGCTGATGCTGATTGAAAATGTGTGATGCTGCAGAGGAAATATCACACAATAGAACCACAGTTAGTTTGGAAATAGATTTAAAAAACAGAGCACATTCGGATGTAAACAGTCAATAGGACTGGGGCCAGCCTTTCTTCTAACAATCAAATCATTAGAAGTAGAAGCGTGCAGAATGATTTCTATGATTAAACTGCAAGTGCAAAATCCATGAAAGTGTGTGCTCATTAATGTTTAACGGAAACAGCCTTCTTGC